TTTTTAATTTTTTTTTTTTTTTTTTTTTTTTTTTTGAATTTAAATTTTTAGAAAAATAATTAGTATAAACTAAAACGTAGATTAAAATTAAATATTTGTAAAATATATATATGCATAAAAAATTTAAATAAATGCAAATAAAATTTGCTTAAATAAAAACAAAATGAATCTTATTTAAAACTAAGTTCTAAAAAAAATGAAAAATTATAAATATGTTACAAATGAAGAAGAATTCATTTAGATTTAAACACACAAAAAAAAAAAAAAAAAAAAAAAAAATTATAATATATTTAAACTTTAAAATTGTTGTTCATTCAATACTAATAAAGTATAATTATTTAAATTAAAATTTTGTGAAGTTTATATTTTTTTTAAATTACAATAAAATTTGATTTTGCATTAGTAATAGTTTCTCCTATATATATTTCCAAGTATTCCATTTATCTTTTTTATATATATTAAATAAAAAAAACTATTTATGCTTTGAGTGCTCATATAACCTATAAATATTCATCTTATTAACACATTTATATATATCAAAAGTAAAACTATAAGAATTTTTTTATAATTATTTTAATTTATAACGAGAAAAAAATGTACTATAAATTAATTGATTCTTAATATTCATTTAATCTATATAATACACATAATTATAACTAAGTTTTATATTTGAGACAACCATAATCTTTACATTAAACATAAAGTATTATCAAATAAAACTTAATATATTCTGTTTAGTAATTCCAAAAAAAAAAAAAATAAATAAATAATATTCATTGATAGTTATATATATCTTATGACTTCTGAAAATTTTATTATTTTTAATTATACTGTAATTTTTTTTTTTGTATTTATAAATTCCCTTCTAAAATAAAAAAAAAACTGTGTTAACTCAAATAATATTTAAAATTAAGACAATGCAAATTTATTTTTTAGTAATTAAGAATCATTCATTTTTTACAAGAAAAAATGAAAATCTTCTTTTTGATAATTCAAAAAAATAAATAAAGAAGATGTGGATGAAATTCGTAAAAACTTATTTAAACTTTAAACTTTCATTTTATATATTTTTTTATTTAAATTTTAACTTGCATGTGATTATAACTATAAATTATTAAAAAATAATAAAAACAAAAATACAATAAAGTAGAATAAAATATAATATAATATAATTTTGATTTTAAAAAAATAAATTTTCTTAAAATAGAAATAAAAAGCTCCATTGTAAATAAATATATAAAAAAAAATGTGCAATAAAAATTTTTTATAAAAGAGTTTTTATTTATTCTTTCATATATTTATCATTTTATTTATTTATTTTATTTTTTTTTTTTTTAAGAAATTAAATTCTCCTTAATTATTTAAAAAATTTTTATTTAAAAAATTCTATAATATACCTTAAAAGAGATAATTATACGTTTTTCATCCATTTTTAATTTTTTTTTTTTTTTTTTTTAATAATTTTTCCATGAATAGAATATTTTCTTAAGATTTATAATAGAAAAAAACAGAAGTAAATTAAAAATGGAGATAAATATGAGATTATATATATTCTTAAGTCATGTAGGATTAGCTTTTATTTTAATGTATTCTTTTATTAAATATGGAGAATTTTATTCATCAGTAGTTTATTTATCTACTGAAAAGTTTCCTAAAACTGTAAAAAATAATAAAAATATAAAGGAAATTATAATTAATTATTTTTAAGCTAATACATAAAATGATTTCATTTGACTATCATTTTAAGTGTCCAATATATATATATATATATATATGTATATATTCTTTTACTTAATTTTATTTTATTTTTTTTTTTTTTTTTTTTTTTAAGATAATTTATAATTTTTTATTAATGATATTTATAGTATTCTGTAAGTTATTATTAAACATTTTTATTGGAGAATTAAGATATTTAGAAGTAGAACAATTAATAGACAATGCAAGAGCTTTTATAATGGATACAATTTTATTCTTAGTCTTGTCGAAGCCTACTATAAATGGAAAAGAAGTTTCTTCAATTATTTTAATTAAATATTTGTCTATTATTGTTATTCTTAAGGCATATCATCTGGTTTTATATTCTCGAGTTTCCCATGTAATTATAAATATTTAAATAATAAAAAATATATACACTTATAATTTTATGAGCATTTATACATCATACAATTTCATTTTCATTAAATTATTATTATTTTAATTCTTTTTGGAAAAAAAAAGAAAAAAAAATTTATTTTATTTGAATAATATTGTGTGTAACCTAAACTTGCATCAAAAATACTTATAAAAATTTCCTTTTTTTTTAGATATTTGAATTAGGTGTACCGAGAACGAGGGTTTTAGTTAGACTTTTTATTTTCATGTGTTTGCTTTCAGTAGCTAACTTAACTATGTTTACATACTTTTATAAATATTCTTTAAAAAATTCCACTATGTATCTTTGGTTGTTTTTTGAAAGTTTAAGTATATTTGAATCTTGTCAAATATCAATTTTCAAGTTTTTTGTAAATATTATTGATTTAAGATCCCCCAATGGATTACCTTCTAAAGCAACAATTTTGTTTTTTCTAGATATATTACATGATATTATGAGTCTTATTATATTTTTAGTTTTTATTATAGTATTTATTTTAAATAATTTCAGCAATTTACCATTGCATATGACAGCAGATATTATACATGTTGTAAAAACATTAATATCTAGGTTTAAATCATTTCAGAGATATAGAGAATTAACAAAAAATATAGAAAGTAAATTTATTGATGCAACTGAAGAAGAAATAAGAGAAGTAGGTACTTGTATAATATGTAGAGATGATTTAAAAGAAGGATCTAAAAAATTATCATGCTCTCACATATTTCATGTTGAATGCTTAAAATCATGGTTTATACAACAACAAACATGTCCAATATGTAGAAATGAAATCAAACCATACACAAACACAAAAAATAAGAACAATGATACCAATGAAATTGAAAAAAAGGAAGAAAAATTAAACCATATTAGTGTAACAGAAATAATTCATAAAGCACCCTTTTTACCTAACGAGGATTCTCCATATTTAAACGATGTATATCCAATGAATAATTTTAACTTAAAAGAAGAAAACTACGATTGTTTTAAACAAAATATTGATTTAAAGGAACGAATAAAAATATTGAGTGATTTAGTAAGGAATATAATTAAAATACAACATTTTCATTTTTATTTTTAAACTCCTTTTTTATTCATCTCTGTAATTATTATATTACCATGTTTTTGTCATATTGTTTATTTACAATGCATATATTGAATTATTTTTTTTTTTTTTTATGAACGATTCATACTTTAATTATTTTTTTTTTTTTTTTTTTAGTGTGATTATTATAAAGAGTTAAGTTTAGCTTGTTTAAAAGAAATTGATAAAATTAATCACACCACTGTGCCTGCAAATATAATGCTAAGAAATATATATGGTTCTTTAAATTATAATATATTAAACAATACAGAAGAAAATGAAATTCAAAAATATCTAAATAAAATATCACATATACCTCAGATGGATGTGTTTAAGAATTATCTTGAAAAAATTTTAATTACCGATATGAAATACATAAAAGACATTTGTGCATTAATATAGTTTTTTTTTTTTTTTTTTTTTTTTTTTTTTATAAATAAATTAAAATAAAAGGAAAATTTATATTTTTTCTTTTTTTTTTTTCTCCTTTTTGTTTTAGTGTGTTTGTGTTTGTTTTTTTTTTTTTTTTTTTTTTTTTTTTTTA